TTTTGCGCCCCTTTTGTGGTTGTCGTTTTGCGTGTGTGTGTGTGTTTGGGGGTCTCCCGCAGTCAAGGGCGCATGCTGTCGGTCCCCTGCGGGTGCTGCGGGAGGAGGTGGGCTGCCTCACGCCAAGTGATCAGCAGGGGAGAGGCTGGCGGCGGCGGAAGCGCGCGAGGGAGGTGACAGACGCGGGGAGCAAGATGCTGCAGGGTCGCGTCACCTTCCTTGTGCACGCGCTGAAGCAGAAGGAGCTTCAGCGCAACGAGGCGCAGCTCGACCGGTTCGAGGACCAGATAACCGTCGACACGCAGCGGCTGGAGACGACGTCGCGCAGGAGCACGCACCTTGAGCAGACGGTGAGTGAGCTGCAGCGGACAAACGAGGAGCTGCGGGAGGAGCTCGGCGTGGTCAAGGCACGCGTGTTGTTGGTCCATGCCGAACACCCGACCTCGCAGCACGGCGCAAGGGAGCCCAGCCTCACACCAACCCCGACGCGGGGCGAAAACGAGGAGCGTGCGGCACCTGCAGCGCCGCCGGCAGCCACAAGACGGCCGGCGGCAAAGCGGGCACGCTCCAGCAGGTCTCGGACGTGACAGCAGCCACCCACAGACACACGACCTGCGGCAGCTAGCACGTGCGCGTAACGAACCAGACAGCCAGACAGGCGAGACCGCGAGGGAGTTTTGCGGGTGCGACAGAAGAGGGGTAAAGCGAAAGAAGAAGAAGGGCAAAAGTTGTCAAAGAGGCACGGCGCACGCCAAATGTTAATTTTCAACCCGGCAGGAACGAGGTAAATCGAAGCAAAACAAAAAGGAGAACACGAAAAGAAGATAGAACGAAAGGGAAGAAAACAACATCAGACATGCGGCCTGCACGGAGTTGATGTTTGCCTTCACCGCCGCGGAACCTGAAGCGTAACCAAAATTTATTTATGTAATGAGGAAAATAAACTGGACGGTCCGTTGCGCAACTTCCTCACCTACACATGTACACTTTTGTACATACCACCCACGAGCTATGCAGCAGGAGGCGGGGCAAAACGCAGAATCTTCTTTTGGAAGGAAAGAAAATGGAATAAAACATAACGACCCGGAGTAGGACCAATCTGTAACGCTGCACTCGCACACATCTACTTTTCCTTTTCACTGTGGAAGCACACACAAGAGGTTTAACAACATCACTACAGTAAATACAACAACAATACTAAGTAAGAGCAGGGAGTTGAGACCGATACGAGCGAGGATGCCGCCGATTTTCCACAGGAACCTGACGACCCCCGAGCTCGTGCAGTGGGCACTTAAGCTTGAGAAGGACTCGCGCTTGACGGCCCGAGGCGCGCTGGCAGTGCTGTCGTACGCCAAGACGGGACGCTCTCCGGCGGACAAGCGCATCGTGGACACGGATGACGTGCACAACAACGTGGACTGGGGCAGTGTGAACATAAAGCTTTCGGAGGATTCCTTCGCGAGGGTGAGGAAGCTTGCAAAGGACTTTCTTGATGCGTGCGAGCACCTGTTTGTGGTGGACTGCTTTGCTGGCCACGACGAACGGTACCGGCTGAAGGTGCGTGTGATCACAACGCGCCCGTACCATGCACTCTTCATGCGCAGCATGCTCATTGTGCCAAAGCCCGAAGAGCTTGCGCGGTTTGGTGAGCCGGACTACGTCATCTACAACGCCGGTGAGTGCAAGGCGGACCCGTCAATTCCCGGCGTGACGTCAACGACGTGCGTGGCGCTGAACTTTAAGACGTGCGAGCAGGTGATCCTTGGCACGGAGTACGCTGGTGAGATGAAGAAGGGCATCCTGACGGTGATGTTCGAGCTTATGCCGCGCATGAACCACTTGTGCATGCACGCGAGCGCGAATGTGGGCAAGCGCGGCGACGTGACGGTCTTTTTTGGGCTGAGCGGCACCGGCAAGACGACGCTGTCGGCGGACCCCCATCGCAACCTGATCGGCGACGACGAGCATGTGTGGACGGACCGCGGCGTGTTCAACATTGAGGGCGGCTGCTACGCCAAGGCCATCGGCCTGAACCCCAAGACGGAGAAGGAGATCTACGACGCAGTGCGCTTCGGTGCGGTGGCGGAGAACTGTGTGCTGGAGAAGACGACGGGTGAGATTGACTTCTACGACGAGTCGATTTGCAAGAACACGCGCGTTGCCTACCCGCTGTATCACATCGAGGGTGCACTGAGCAAGGCCGTCGCCGGTCACCCGAAGAACATCATTTTCCTGACGAACGACGCGTTTGGCGTGATGCCGCCAGTGGCGCGGCTGACGAGCGCGCAGGCGATGTTTTGGTTCGTGATTGGCTACACAGCAAACGTTCCTGGCGTTGAGGCTGGAAACACTCGCACGGCTCGCCCGGTCTTCTCGTCGTGCTTCGGTGGGCCGTTCCTCGTGCGCCACGCGACGTTCTACGGTGAGCAGCTGGCGGATAAGATGAAGCAGCATAACAGCCGCGTGTGGCTGCTGAACACCGGCTACGCTGGCGGCCGCGCGGACCGCGGTGCGAAGCGGATGCCGCTGCGTGTCACCCGTGCGATCATCGACGCGATCCACGACGGCTCGCTCGACCAGGGGGAGTACGAGGTGTACCCCGGCTGGGGCCTGCACATCCCGAAGCACGTCGCCAATGTGCCGACGCACCTGCT